AAAATGTTAATGATGGTTATTTCTAGGTGTCAAGATTATGGGTGAGCTTAATTCCTTTCCCTCTGTAATTATCTGTCTTTTCTAATTTCCCTACAATGACATATTGGATATTGCTTGTGTGACAAAAATGTAATACGAGTTTTAAAAATTGCAATGACATTAAGTTCCCACAGTTTTAGCAAGGGGGTATGTATGTGCAATGGCTCACAGAATCCAGACGTGCCTGTTGCACGGATCTCACTGCAGCTATGTAGAACTCCCCTTTAGATAGTTTCATGGCTCTTTTAAAGTGAGGATGAGAATCGGGCTTTCTGGAGTTTCCACTCATCCTCCATCTTCCCAGATATCTCTAGAGTTAATACTTTGAGAGCTATTTTATTTTTCCCTCTGATATCGTTACCCCTCTTCTGACTTCTTTTTTTCCTGTTCTGACGTCTATGTGATCTTTATTATTTGTTTGATTTCATAAAGATTTTTACAATATTTTTTTCCAGGAGGTTTAATTTTAAAGTATGTGGACCATAAAGTGCATTTTGTAAAATTATTTCCTGCATTAATGTTGTTTTACTTCACTTCTTAAAGATTAAAGACTTAAATTTAATTCATTTTCCTTAGAAAGGACTGTAAAGGCCATATACCGTGGCTGGAGGAAAATCAGTGTCTTTTTTAAAGGGACACCATATTTGTTAAAAAGTAAATTGACTTTTTTTCATGACTGTCAATTTCATGCCACCTTTGTTCAATTCTATTTGGTGAAAAATTTTTTTAGTACCTATTGGGCTCCTCTGTGAAAAATATTTCCATGGATACTAATGATTCATTAGCCAGCATTTCAACAGGGTTATCTTTGAATTCACAGCAACATTGAGAATTATGTTTGTTCCAACACATCTGTTATATTAGTCAGCTTTTAGTTCTCTATTATGGGAATCTCAGAAACCATTTGCCTGGGTTCAGGTTATCTGTGAATTTTCATATTATTTTATGGCCACCAGCTGCATTTTATGACTATATATTAAATTTTTTATTTTTTTCAAATAACTCTTCCAAATGGTCTCAGTTTCTAATCCAAGGAAATCAGGCCTATGCCCAAACATCTACTGTTCAGTAAGTTACAGCTACTGCAAAACCCAAAATAAACGAAAGAGAAACAAAAAGAAAACTCTTCCTCAAAAAGGAAAAACCCTGTATAAAATGCCAGTGTGCCTAAAACCTAATACCTGACCTTTCACTGTATCTATTCTTGGTGGGACATGCCTTCAGCTTTTAATTGGGACTTTTTTCATAATTGTTGCCATTTAACACATTTAGTCTGTCAAATCATGGGATGTCTTTATAGCCGTATAATAAACCCTAGAGAACAACTTTTCTGACTGTAGCCATCTGCAATGATCACAAGAGTAGCTTACAAAATACTGACAATCTTTATGGTAATAGGATACATATGGCAGCCCACAATTATGTGTAGCTGCATTCAATTAGTGTTGTACAATTACACAGTTTTATTGCTTAGTTAAAACAGTGAAAGCACTACATACTGGTAATTTGCACTAATCCCCGTCTCTTTAATAGCCTCTCAGTGTTTAAAATGTGGGGGAACATCTATAGAATTTAAAGGGCTTGGGATGAACATTAAATTATATCTCATGTTGTGAATACTCATTGATTGACAATCAATGTATTCCCACCTCACTTGTGGGTCATGTTTTATGGAGGCTTTAAAATACAGTTATAGCAAAAAGTTCTTTTGTACAGCAGAACTCCACTTGCTGGATTGGGCTGCCCAAGCCTGTGCTTGCAGCCTGTTAATGTCCCTCCTGGAAGATGTTCAGGATGAGGAGACATGCAGAGGACCAAAGGTCAGAATCGATTCAGGGAGCACTATAAGCCATTTTAAATGTGAACTTGTTAGAAGCGTTTCCAATTCCTAACTTTTAATTAAAAACTTAGTTCAAAGTAAATTTATAGCTGCCATTTGGGAAAATACTTTCTGGAGATGGCTTTTTGAGTGTGTGTGTGTGTGTGTGTGTGTGTGTGTGTGTGCAGGCGTGCACACACACACACACACGCCTGGGCTCGTGCACGCCTGTATGTTTGAAACAGATGTGTTTAGCAATCTGTGATTTTAACAGAATTTAAATTACATTTTTAAATGGCCTCCTCCGTGCCCCTCTGTAACTGGCTTGGTAAAAGATAAGGGTGAGCCCGGCGCAGGTTGTAGCAAGCGCTAATGGTGAACCCCAGTTGTGAAGTGGGCTTATTACATTGCTTAGGAAAGGTGCTCTCCCACTGGAGGAGAGGAAACACTGGAATATATTCTTCTGTATCCTTCTCTCGAAGTGTTGACAGAGGAAAACCCAAGGCAACCTTGTTTCCTGCCCTGCCTGACAGTAAGTTAAACAGAATTCCAAACCAAAGGCCTGGACATTTATTCACCTGCAAAAACATTTTGCTGAAGCATTTCTAATGTCGTTGTGTCTAGAAATGTTTTCAATTACATGGATTAGGGCTTTGTCTCTCTTATTGTCTATCATAAGCATCAAGTTAACTTCTTTATGTTCATGAAAATTCTATGTTTTTTCAAAGCAAAAACGTGGAAGTGTCAGAGATAAAAAGAACATTAAAACGATAGATTCTGTGTGTTTTATTTAATACTGTTGGTTTATTAAAAGTCATTACTTTTATGTAATCCTAATTTTCTTTATTTTAGATAAGATTTTTTTCGTGCTTTTTTCCCCTTAGTTATTGAAACTTTGAACTTTGTTGCTCAGTATATTAAATATAACTGGCATATGGCTGCATATGAGATGGAATTCCTATTAAGTAACATGTAGAGGCTCAAAAATAAAACCTTTGCTATGTGTAGGAGAAATACATGTTCATATTCAGAACCAAAATGTGACTTATGACTGGATCTGCCAACATCTTCTTTCGTCCAACTTTTGAATAAAGTTTGGTGATTATAGATAGTATGTTTAGAGAAAAACCACAAAATTCCTGTGTAAATTGAAATCTGCACAAACTCATAAAACACGAACTATGGATGTTTGGACCTAACAGAACATCAAAGTGAGAGTTTATTTTGCATTTTAGAAAGGTTATTGCTAACAAAATGGAATTAGGGAAGTAAACAGTTCTGCTCTCTTCGGGAAATAAACTAGATGGTCTTCTAGATGTTTCCATCTCAGGTTTCTGTTCATGAAAAACATTTGCTTGTCACTTGGATGACCAGAATGGCTGAGGTGCTCAGACTATGATTTAGAAATTTCTTTTGCCAGAGAACATTTAGGCTGGGAATGAGATTGTGTTTTGCAGCTCTAATGCCTTGGAGTCCCTCACTCAGACTTATTCCCACTGATGGGCTGGAGAGCTGCTTTGTTAAAGGAGAGAGGACAGTGTCCGTCCCACATGACAACTGGGCAAAGCCACATCAATGAAGGACACATAGCTGCCTTTGCCCTAACAGCCTAAATGCAGGTGACCCCGCAAGCCTCTGGACACCTGCCCAAGAGCCTAAACTAGATGCAGGTCAAGCCCTTAAGGAGAAGACTCCATGTTCTGAATGTGGAGAAAGGTAAAAGAATATATATTTATATTATTTTTTTGCCCAGAAAAGACACAGTCTCTCCAGAAGGGAAGATTTGACTCTCTGCCTCTGCCAAAACAGTTAGATCCAAATGACCATTGCTGATACTGCCACTTAGCTGGCCAAACATCTGCACTTTATGCTGCAGCGAACTGAGAAGTTAATCTACTTTTTCCAAAGAAAAGGTGACGTGGAGTGTGAACAGTAGTGGCGCTCCTGATGTGTGGAGATGTGTCTTGCTGTGCAAGAGGTTCAGGCTGTTGTATCAAGTTCAGATGATCACAAGGCAGCAACAGAAGAACATGCAGGCTTCAGCTTGCTAGCTAGATTATTTTGATGTACATGGAAAACTTCACTATTTCCTCAAGGCATCTCCTGGTGACTGCCTCTGCTGGGAATACTAGCTTTTTACTGTGGTTTTATCTTATGGATTCCAATGGAGGACACTGAATTAGAATCCTGAATGCCCTTTGATCTTTTCTTTGAAATAGTAGAAGTTGTTTGGGATACTTTTTAGAGCAGACCCATTTGGTTTGATCATGGACTGGAATTAAAGTGGTATAAATACTTGCCTATGGTCACATGCATCCTTTTCTTGATTTGTTGGGTGAAGGACTGGAGATTTTTACTGCCTTAATAAGGAAACCTGGACAGAATGCTGACTCTGCACCTGATAAATCTTTCTAAATTGCCTCAGGTGAAATGAAATGTTAATATCCCTTTCAATTATTAATAAAAAAATGTAAATAGGTTTTGTTGGAAATGTGGGCCACTGAATATAAAGTATTTTAATATACATGTAGTTTTTTTGTTCAATTACTAAAAAACTATGTTTTTAAAGCTTCTTACATATTAAAACGGAGAGGTAATTATTTTCATAAATTGGAGGTACTGCACTAGAGACTTTCTATGTTTCATAATATTACACAAATCAATTTTAATTGTAGAAAACATTAAATACAGATAAACCAAAAGAAAAAATCTCCCATAATCCTCCACCCAGAGACAGACACACTAACACTGTGTTCTTTCAGACATTTTTCTTTGCATGTATTTTTCTTTAATACACATTTTATGCAAACCAGTCTGAAATCTGTCCTTAGTTCCCCCAAATAATTCATTTCAATAAATATAAACCCACATCACCACATTAATGGTCCTGTAGCATCCCACTATATCAACGTACTGTCATTTATTATTGAATTTCCATTTGCTGGCTGTTCACCATGTTTCCAATTCTGCAGTAATCTTTAAAAAAAGATATTCTTGTATGTATATCATTGCATAACTGCCTGTTTTTTTTTTCACTTTGTGATAAATACCTTAAATTTAAGCCTCAAAGCCCCTCATTTCTTCAAAAAAGAGCTTTTGAGCCTTGATCATAAGGCTAGTTCACTCTTTCCTTTTACTTTAGGTATATGAACACCAAGATGGTAGCAAATCGCTGAAGCTGGGTGACTTTGGTCTGGCCACCATTGTCGATGGTCCCCTGTACACAGTCTGTGGCACCCCAACATATGTGGCTCCAGAAATCATCGCGGAGACTGGGTAAAAGCTTCCATTGGTTTATTGGAGTGCTGTGCTTGCCAAAGAACTAGTCTGCTTCAAGAACAGGAGAAAACAGCTCTGTCCTATCAAGACAGAATTAGCTATCAGATTTCTTTCACTTTTTTTTTTTTCTAAACTTTAAAGTGAGAGCCATTTTCTCTGTTTCTCCAATCAAGTTGCCAATTACGGCAATCTTGTTCAAGGCTTCCATGCGGCCTTTGTTAAAGGTGGAACAGCAGTTATTAACCCCAGAGTAAGAAATGTTCGGACTAACAGAGAAACATATAGCGATGGTAATTAACTCGCTTTTGGATAAAAGAAACAGACACTGCTGTGTGTGGTGATTACAGTCTCCTGTGGTTTTTTTCTCTCAGCTGTCCTTATTCTCCTGTCCCACTCTCATTTTGGCTCTCTTGGCGGTCCATTGATTATCTGTGCAGTACAAACACCCTTAGGCATCAGAGGGCCACTGGGAGTTTTCAGGTTTCTGTGTGCAGCAGTATTAGATGAATGAAAATCTCTAGAATGGGGGGAGAAGGTGAGTGGGCTAACATTTACGAAGTACCTACTATCTGCCAGGCCTTAAGGTCCTTTACTTGATTTTTACTCTCTCAGTAGATGGTATGATTCCCATTTTGTACATGAATAATCTCACTGCGATGGCTGGGTATCATGGAAGCTCATGACTAGATAGTGGTTGAATCAGCATTTGAGCTCAAGGCTGTGTGAATAAAGGGCTCCTTCCGGATACAGCTCTATTTCTTACCAAGGGTCAGAGGCAAAGTTCTGAAGAACTACCCCCCGCCCCCCCCCCCCACAGAAGGACTGGGGAAGGGTAGTACAGCAAGGGGAGATGGCCCTACTTTTCCCCTTCAATTAGTAGCGCCAACCCAGACCTAGGAGTCTAGGTGGTATATTTCACTGAGACCTGTTAGAGATCGTTTTTCTGCTTGACCATAGACCAGAAAGGCAGAGAAACAGAATAGATGAGAAGGGAATGCCAATCAAGAAATCCCGAAATGGGATGTGGGGTGATAAGGACTTTTTTATTTGTCAAATTTGAGTGATTTGGGAACCCACACCTGTAACCTTGTCTGACATTCCTTAGAGGGTGCTGCCTTCAGCATAGCTACACTTTCTGGTTTATTACTGTGAATACTCTGACAGTCTGCTGTGAGGGAGGGCCCAGGGTAGCAAGAGGATTGAATTGGGCTCTTGGAGACCCTGGTTGGAACCCAGCTCTGCCACCATCTTGAGCAAAACTACTTACCCCTCTGATTCTTGGTTTTCTCCTCTATGAAATAGGTGATAGTACTTATCTATGTAATGTAAAGAGTGGTTGGAAAAACAGCATAAGATATTGTATGTCAGTGCTTCACAAATCAAAAAATGTCCTATTCGTAATTATTATTTCTAAAATCAGAGACTTCATTTCAAGGGTCCATCACTATCTTAAAATTGATCTGACTTGAATTGATAACCTTTTTGATGAAAAGGTTATCTCACTGATACTTAGATATGATCTTTAGCCATGCTTTACTTCAATTTTTATTCATTTGTCTTAGTCTCTCTCTCTCTCTTTTATTACTCTTCCCTTGAATTCTGTTTAGCCAGTGGGTTTTAGTTTAGTGTTTGCTGTTGAGTTTTTAAATTTTGTTTCATTTGGTTTTTGGTTTAGAATAGAAGAGTCATCTATTTTACCGTGCCCCATAATTTGTCCTGGCCTGACTTTTGCTAACTCTAACATCACTTACTTTTCCAGATATGGCCTCAAGGTGGACATCTGGGCAGCTGGTGTAATCACTTACATCCTGCTGTGCGGTTTCCCTCCATTCCGTGGGTATGGGCAGTAATCTTTTATTCAGCACCGACAAAGCATTTCTGCATTCTCTGAGTGATCCATTCCCCCTTCTTGCACAAAGGAGCCTGAAGCAGGAAAGGAACATAATAAGAACTTCACTTCCAGCGCCTGTTATTTTTTCTGTGTTGTACATGCTCATTTACATGCCTTCCATAAATCTTCCTCATATAATTTAAAAACTCATTCTTTCCTAATTGTCCAAAACAGTTCCATATTGACATTTTGAATTGCTTAAAAACACACATTTTACACATTTATGGGGAAAGGAAGGGCTCTAATGCATAAGAATGAAGAGACATACCCTGAGTTGACATTTTAGTGCTGTTTTTTTCCCTTGTTGTTGTTCACCTGAACAGAAGTGGTGACGACCAGGAGGTGCTTTTCGATCAGATTTTGATGGGACAAGTGGACTTTCCTTCTCCGTACTGGGATAACGTTTCTGACTCGGCAAAGGTAGGTTTCCAGTGCCTTTCCTTTCCCTTACAGCCGGTGTGTATTAATGCAATTATTAATTTTGACTCATTTTATGCAAAAAGACCTAATGATATTGTAAATGCGATTTCTGTCCATTTTGGTTATAATTACTAGGTTTTCCAAGAGATCAGGATCATCAAATCATCTGTTTGTAGCCATCCCAAGTGCCTCTGTTTCCCCGGCCTTCTCACTTGCTGTTGCCACTCCAGTTACATTACTATAGCCTCTTGGTACACCTGGCCCATACCAGGCCGCCTTAGATTTCAGCATAGCTTGTAGCTTTACCTTGTTCGGGTCTCGACTCAATTTCATCCTCTCAGGGGAAGCTTCCCAGACCACCTTCTTTTCAACTGCAGCTCTTTAACCTACCTAGCTCACCTTATCTTCCTCACTCGCTTTATTTTTCTCTATAGCACTTACACTCACATGTCCATCTGGTATACCATCTAATTATGTTTATCTATCTACCTTTCTAGATGGGTAGATACAGACAGGTGGATACATCTTATGTCGTTTATTTTCTGATTCTCCCCTCTAAAGCACACATTTCATCAAGACCAGGAATTTTGTGTATTTGGTTTATTGGTGTATCATCAATGCCTGTGCAGTGACCAATATATAACTGGTGTTTAACATGTATTATAATGAATGAATAAGAGAAAAAAATCTTGAATTTTTAAAAATCTCACATGGAGATACTAGTGGAACTTAAAAAAGAAAACTTTTTGGGGCACCTGGATGGCTCAGCGGTAGAGTGTCTTCCTTCAGCTCAGGGCATGATCCTGGAGTCCTAGGATTGAGTCCCACATTGAGCTCCATGCATAGAGCCTGCTTCTCCTCTGCCTATGTCTCTGCCCTTCTCTGTGTCTCTCATGAATAAATAAATAAAATCTTTTAAAAAAAAGAAAGAAAACTTTTTGATTGGTTCCTTAAACTTACATCTCTAAGCATTGACTTAAATTTTTAAAAAACTGATGTTGAGAAATAATTGACTCTTGATTTTTCAGCATGCCTTTACCTTCTCCATTCCTGAGTGTGAGTTCAATTTAAAATCTGACTTTTTCTGCCTGGCCACATTCCATGGAAAATGATCCACATTGGATCATCCACAATGATCCAAAGCTTTCATTTTCTTCAGCTGTCCAGGACGTCTAGCTACCTCTAGGCCTAGGAAAATGTAGAGGAGTTGAGAGAAGTGTCAGAAGAAAGGCAGCAGGGTGAAAGGAGATGGGGTGGTCCTATCATATTGTGGGGTAGAGGTGTTTTTGCCTGTGAGCAATCTCTTCAGGAACCTATCTACCTCAGTGCTGTCATCACATAAAAAGAGAGCTCAAAGTCATTGACACACAGGACCATCTCCTTCCCATACCCCCATGTACCCTGGCAAAGGGCATCACAGAACATAGTTGCTCTAATAAGTTCTGGCCCAGGTTGAAAAGGGAATGAATGCCTTCTTGCACAAAGGAGTCTGAAATGGGAGAAGAACATAATGAGAACTTTAAGGGAGAATCTCTACATCAGTGGAAATAAATCATCTCCATCATGGAATGATACTCAGACCCCGTGAATGTAAGGACCTGGATAACACATATCTAACCATTTTGTTACATGGGAACTTCTAATCCAAAGTGGACACATGTAAGACAGACTCATCATTAAAACTCAATCTGTCCTTTCCTGGTCCCAATCATTTTGAGCTCATAGGAAGTCTCATTAATCTCAGCACCATTAAATCTCTGCCTCTTAATAGTTCCATTTTATTGGCATTGATTGATGTGGAAATTTTTGAAGCAAGTTTAACAGATTTCTTTTTTTTAGTTTTATCTTTTTAATTTATTTTTAAAATATTTTATTTAAATTCAATTTGCCAACATATAGTATAACACCCAGTGCTCATCCCATCAAGTGCCTTCCTTAGTGCCCATCACCCAGTTACCCCATCCCTCCACCCACCTCCCCTTCTGCAACCCTTTCTTTGTTTCCCAGAGCTAGGAGTCTCTCATGGTTTATCTTCCTCTCTAATTTTTCCCCATAACAGATTTCTATATTAAACTTTGAAATCTGCTAATAAAGCACAAAATTCTAGACAGAGAAAGGGATATTAATTCTTTAACTTGTGTAACTGATTTCTTCTCTACTAACTACACTTTAATGAAATTTATTCTAATATTCCTTTCTTTCTTTTTTTTCTTTCGACTCTAAGCAATTGATTTATAATTCTAAGTATTCACCTTTCCTTTGACTTCTAAAGGTGTGGCTGTGGGTAAGTTGAGTTGATATATTTAAGATTTAGAGCTTTTCCAAACTAAAAGAGTACGGCTGCACGCTCAGATTTTTGCCATAAAAATTAGACAAACGGGATCAAACATTTGCCTTCCACAGGAGCTCATCACCATGATGTTGTTGGTCGACGTGGATCAGCGATTTTCGGCTGTGCAGGTCCTTGAGCATCCCTGGGTTAATGTAAGTGACTTCCTCCTGTCCCTGTACTGACTCCTAACATTCCCTTTTAAAATTGCAGATTTCCTCATGATGCTGCCTCCTTTGTCAACTGTTGTGTTTGTGTTTATTCCTCCCTCTCAAACATGCCAAAATGGTTAGGGGGTCTCAGAGGGCCTCTGATATAGCTGTGCCGATGTGCACTCTCATGGTCCCTGGAACAGAGCATTTCATTTGATTCAGATGGGACTACCTTCTGACTGGGGAGGTGCATGCACATGGATGCTACCCTCTGCCCCCCATCCTGCATTCTGAATACATCAATAAGAGCAGATTTTCTGAGTCAGTACTGCTTTTGCGTTATTCCTACCAAAAATGCAGTTGACCCAAGGGTCTCCACATAAGGCTTGAGGTACTCTGGCACAGGACTTCTCAATCTTGAATATGCTCACAAGTCACCTGAGGATCTTAATAAAATGCAGATTTTAATGCAGTAGATGTGAGGCTCTGAATTTCTAAAAGTTCCCAGATGCTGCTGCTGCTGCTACTTGAGTACTAGAGTCTCATAATACATGATACATGTTTATGAATGTTGAATATGAATGTGCATAGATATACAGCGAAGGTTTGTTTAAATATTTTCATAGAGCAGAGCTTCCCCATTGGTGTACAAATATGTAAAGACATTAATACCCTCAGCCGTTGGGATAGTCGGGCAGGGCAGCTAGATCCTGGGAGTGATCATCTCCAGCCTCAAAACCTTTTCATTTACCTCAGGTTGCTAAACAAAAACTATCCTTTTCTAGGAAGTGAGAAAAGTTAGGAAGCATCTCATGTAAGCCTAATAATCAGTGTGCAAGATAGGCAGAGTGGGTATTATTATACCCATTTTACAGATGCAGAGACTGAGGCTATGGCAAGTGACTTGCCCAAAGTAGCAAAGTTTATCATGGAGCCAAAATTTGCAGCTAGGTATCCTCACTCCAAGTCCATTTGCTTTGAATTCCTATGGACCACATTATATCTACCTGTCCTTTGTTATATGTGAAAGCACCACGAATATTGCAAAAGAATGCATGTATATATCATATCGTTATAATGACTGTTCATACAAGTTAGCAATGTCTCCAAAGTAACTTACCTAGGTCATGGCACCTTTCCCTTAGATATGCTGGGAGGAAGAGGCACAGACCAGCTGCATGCAGCCTTTATTGGTGGCAGCAGTTAGTTCTGATTGATCTACATGCTGCTTAAAAGCCCATGATCTACAAATTGTCAAACTGCATGGTAGCACCAGAATCAGTGAGATTATGACCACATAGAATAAGCCAGAAAATCTAAGTTTGAAACATGGCCTTTGAAGGCTCACAAAGAGCCATAAAGGAAAGAGATTGCATAGGTTGCAAATAGCCATTTTAGATTTTTAAATACATTCTCATCAGAGGACCACTGCCTGCCAAGTCCACCCTCTGGAAGCTCTGATACAACCAGTCACAGGACAGTGAGGGAAGGGCTACCCCAGCTAGCCCCTGTGTAGGAGCAGGGGTCCTATACAGGATATATACTAGAGGAGGAGATCAGAGCTCCATCCTGAAGGAGGCTGGAAAGGAGATGTCTGGCAGAGCCAGCTCCAGCAGGATATGCATATTAGTTTTAAGATAACTTTGTGGATGTGAGCAAGTTTGTCTATATATTTGAGGGGACTGTAATGCAATTGAAAACAGCCTTAACCTGATTCCAAACCAAATAACCCTATATCCATATATATCCCAACTCTGTGGGATAAAGAAACAAAATTAGGAAGGTTTTGGCTTTTACTTTTGAAAAACTAGGTTGCTCCTAGGATCCTCCTTAGAAGGCATGTACATGTATCAGCAGTAACTTTCTGCCTTCTCAACCTACTTTGTACGCATTTTTACACATGGTCCCACTTTTCTGGTAATTAGGCTCCACCACTCCCTCTAAAACATGGACTTCTGCTGTCATTTTAGTTTTCCCTCTCAGATTCCCTAAAGACATTTCCTAAAAGCAGGGATAAACACTTAAGGAATTATCTAGGAGATTTAAAACTAAAATATACCCTTTATATAATTCTAACGGATCTTAGATTCTAAGGGAAAAAATATTGATGTATATTGATGTTAGCAGAAACTTAAAAAAAAAAACCCAAAAAACCCGAAATGTATGAAATGATTGCTTAACTTTTGAAATTTTATTTATGTAGTAACTAAATCAGAAAAATGATTATTGTCTCAAAAACATAAATGAAAAACCACATATAAGTTTTCACAGCCAGCATTTAGTATTTGTCAAGGTCTCCAAGTGCAACAAATGAACAACCAACCAATCAAAATAAATAAATTAGGCATTTAAACGGAAGTCCATTTAACAAGACATTTTGCATTTGGCGATCAAATTATCTGATCACTGCTGAGGACTCTACCTAAGGGGGAAAGAGGTAATAATAATTATCTGAGCCCTGAGGAAGTCATCAGAGAGCATTTCCTGACTCTCATTTGTCCTAATTTTGTCTGTTGCTCATATAGTGACCTTTTCAACTTGGTGCCCTTGGAATTGAAAAGGGAGTCTCTTATGAAACATAGAGTAGAACAATAGAATCAGAAAACCTAGTCAACAAAAATCACTTGTTTTAACCTTACTCCAGACTCATTTCTTCATTCATTCTGGGTGGGAATCCCACCGTGCTTCTTATTTGTTCTGGGCCTCTGCTATGTTATCGAAAGAGTCATGAGCGAGGTGTCTCAGTGGATTGCTCTAGCAAACCAGATGGACAAAAGCAGCATCAGTGTGCTGCCAGGTGTCTAGCAGAGGAATGTGGGCTTCCAGAAGGAGCATCAACTCACCCTCCTGTTGTAAGCTTGGGACAGTCATTTCACTCCTTTGAACCTGTTTTTGTGTCTGTGAACTAAAGATAATAGAATCAGCCTCTCGAGTTGTAATGAGGATGGAGAAAGGAATATATATTTGAAGGGTCTGAGAGGATAGTCTTTAAGCACAAGTACTGTGTAGGTACTTGATAGATATGTGGAGAGTTTGGGTCTGAGACAGGCAACGACTCTGTCATCTGTTGCTATGTGCTGATGAAATATAAACTCTGATGGATGTTGGTGTATAAGAAGTTTGATTAAGAAGGAGAACATTCTCATCTCCCGAAAAATTCCATTAGTGTATCCCCAGCTCCATATAGATAGGGTGTGCATTATTTGCTCTGTTGTCTCCTTTAGTATCACACCTGTTACCTCTACCATGGCTGCAGGATACCAACAGGAATTGTTTTGGCTTAAGTTGATATACCTTAGTACTCATCTGGTGGAGAACCACAGAATTTAGGCACATAGGAGGCTGAAAAAGGCATTAATACATCTTGATCATTCCAGACATTGGGGAGAAGGTGGAGTCACTTTCCCCCAAACAACACTTTGTTAATAGGAAAGATAGGTTAGTGGTAAACGTAATTGATATAGCACCCAAAATTCTTAAATAGGGTTAAATATCACCATTATAATATCCCAAAAGTATTACTATTATTATATTTTTATTTTCAAAGTGTTGACCTACTTTATCCCATGTTATTCACCTGATACTAGGGTAAAGGTCCATCTGAATGCTACAATTCTATCAGTTTATGTTTTACTTCCAGTTATTTTTCTGATTTTATTGATGAGGAAACTGAGCCTTAGAGAAGTCTCTAGCATAAAGTTCAATGGAGTTTCTAGAACAAGGTCTTATGCCTGGATTTTGTCCCTAGAGATTCTGATTTAATTGGTCTGCACCAGCATCTAGGCAGGCATCATGAATTTTAAAAGGTCCCAGGCGATTAGAATGTGAAACCAAGATTGAGAACCTCTGTCCTGGTGGGAAGGATTGGTTTAAATAAGTCAAATGTAGGTAGTTGGCCAATTCAAGACTTCCTATCACCTCCCTGGCCTTTAAATTTTATTTTATTTCATTTATCTCGCCAATCTACTCTTTTTAAGGAGATGCTACTAAAATAAATGTAAATAAGTAAATAAATAATAAATAAATAATAAATATTACTAAGCCAAGATATTCAAAAAGAATAAAGAAAAAGAGAAGACAAAATAAGAGCCTGGATAATCTACCAAGATATTCCATGCTAACAAAAAGCAGCTCTTGGGGCACCTGGGTGGCTCAGCCAGTTAAGCATCTGCCTTCCGCTCAGGTCATGATCCAGGGTCCTGGGATCAAACCCCACATTGGGCTCCTTGCTTAGCAGGGAGGCTGCTTCTCCTTCTGCCTTCTGCTCCCCCTGCTTATGCTCTCTCTCTCTCTCTCTCTCTCTCTCTCTCTCTCTGTGTGTGTGTGTGTCAAATAAATAAACAAAATCTTTTTTAAAAAAATAAAAATAAAAAAGCAGTTCTCCCCGCACAAAACTTTATATGCATTTATCTTGTGCTTTCAGAATTTGTTAGAAATTAAGAGAATCCTCAGTGATACTGTAATAATGAACAAAACACCTATTTATATTCATAAATTATAAATGATGAAATGGAATTCCATTTTCTTTTTGGGCATCTTACCCTCTCCTTTCTCCAAGCTAAAGCTTAATTTACTTCACATTTTCTCCTCCAGTACAGTGTGAATTGTAGACATAGAGGATGCATAGGCCCAAGCTGAACAGAGTCAAAGGTGCTGGGTGCCATACAGCTGGAGATGGTTAACAAGAGTCAAAAGGCCAAACCCTGGGGTGCAAAATGGAGCTGCTATTGAAGAGTGCTCTAATGTACTTGAGAGATTTTTTTAAAACTAAATCAGGATATTCTGGTAGTAAACTGCTCAAGACTGTCATACTTCTCATAAATTCACATATTATTATTAATAATAGAGTCGGATAATGAATTGACTGAAAACCAGATCCATGAGTCAAAAACAAAAATCCATGAGGGAAGGAGGAGGCATGACCCCTGGAATGGTTTCCCTGAGGAAAGACGGGAATTCACTCCACTGAGTGACTTCACATCCAAGCCTTCACATCCCTCCCC